GTAATTAAAACTCTACCTTTCATTATATTCACATTGCCAAACACAACAGGACTCCAGTCATACTCTCAAGTATTACTGGCATTTAAACCTAAAAAATTATTTGGAATAGTAGTAATAGTAAAAACTTGCTGCATATCTATACTGGAAATTCACTTTTTTCATATTCTAAATATGCTAAATAAGGAAAACAAGACACTAAGGCAAAAATAAATACCACTCTCAGAGGTCCATTAAAAGGTAAATAAGCAAATTATATATAGACAGCTGAATATGTATGTGATTACTATACTATAAATTACTCTGAGTGCAACTTCTTTCCATTTCTTATGGACTCAACTCTAAGCATAACTTTTTTTTTTATTTTATAAAGCCTATAAACTGAAAAAGGCTGAAAAAAACCTCACAGACTGACGTAGCAAATTGCACCACAGAGACCCACCTGAAAGACTAGGACATAAAGCACATTCTACATCGCAGAGATTTTGGACAGCAGTGTATAAAAGAACATCTAAGGATGTCTGACACCAGTGAATGTATTGCCTCTAAAAACATTTAACAACACCATCGATGTCAGTGTTAAATTATAACTCAGCCAGTGCTAAAAGACTAATGAACAATTTTACATTACAAAGAGAGCACCATCATTCTCTAATATTTATTTTATTACCATAAAATTAAACATGCTTCTGTTTCTAATGATTCAATAGTGTCATGATGAACCAACAGTGAAGAAAAGCTTCCTTGTTCTAATCAGTGACAGTAGACATTATCAATTATACCCACAAAAATTGCACACATGCAAAAAAGCTCAAATTTTGCTACAGTACTGGCAGCAGAAACATCACCACAGGGCAGACTAGCTCTAAACACAGATCCTTTATGGTGCACATCATACCTTTGTCTACAAAGACATACAGCTGTTAAAAATCTTAACCCCAGGAAGCAACCCCTACCCTCCAAGCAAACAGAGCAGACTGGCCCAGATCCCACTGCTTAGGGCTAGATCCCCTTCAACACAGTGCCTGCATCCACAAGGCATGACTGGGGCACTATGGGGCACACTGAAGCCCTAAACATACATCTTTTTGATGAGGTCATGGGCTTTTTTCAGTTCAAAGGTCCCAAACTCTGCAAATGCTATGCCAGACTAGTGTTTTTGTAGCTTAATGCCAAAAACGTACATTACATATCCCGAAAGAGCGCAAGGCTCACTGAAAAGGAAATGGAAGACTACGCAGCAAAAGAGTGCAGCTTGGTGTGCCCTTATTGACCAAACCTGTAAGTAATAGCGCTTATTAGGAACTATTTTGAGAACCATATACAAGTTAACTCTCTTATGGTGTCAGCTGATTCATGCCAAAAGAAAACCCAGAAGTGCACCTAAGTTAACGCAGTGTCGACGGTCAGTCCAGAGCAAACTAAACACCAAGTTATTTGACAAAGCACATGTACCACCCCTCTGTGTATGATCTGGATCAATTCTACCAGACATCTTTTAGATGTAAGCACTGTCTTTCAATTTACATGGATGCCTTTATGCAAGCAACTGATTTTAGAACAAATTAATAATTGCAAAGAATTAAAGAGTCGATACTTACCAATAACAGTGAACTGAGCCGAACACAAAATAATAACTAAGAACAGCAACGCTATGATGATAGCCCTTTCCATTAGAAGAAACCATGATCCTAGGGAATAAACAAAGAAAAATAGTAGGAAGAAAACAAAAATTGAGGTTATTAGGCTTACATTTATTGCTCCTTTTAGGCTCTAGATTGCTCAATACTGTATGTAACAGCATTAATAGACTAAGAAAGCTATCATTTCTACCTATGTATTTTTCACTCTGATCTGGTGTGTGACAACCTATTTTTTCAGTATTTCTAGTCACAATACTGTTTTCCAAACTGGAGGTCTTAACCTCCACTGCAGCAGAGGATATGTTTATGCTACTGCCTGGCAGTACAAGTCAGTTAGCTTGCAGAACTACAAACAGCACAGTACATCAGAAAAATGGTGTATTTAGGCTAAGCAGTGAAGCTGGGCAAGATGTGAAAAGTCCAGCTGAATGCTTTCCCAGCTATTTTGTCCCACCTCCAACTGCTGTACTCCCTGAAGAAATCCAGATGTGTAATAAGGAATAGAGGAGCTAACCTAAGTGAGAAGGAAACACTGCCTTGTTAATTTCAGAAATCACACATTTTCCTTTAAGTCTTCCCACCATCATCCATTTAGCTTTTTGTCTCCTGCATCTTGGATGCTTTAGGCTGTTCAGTCACTCGTGCCGTAAGACCATGTAAGCCACTTCCCAATAGAACATTCTGAAAATATCTCCACTGAACTGGAAAATGCAGCTGATTCTTGCATCTCTACTCATAACTTCATTTCAACTCACTCAGTGGAATCCAAAGTCTCCATTTCCTACATTATACGTGCCACCATTCCTCTGCCTGCAGACTTGCTTCCAAATAAATTTCTAATCTTCATCTGGATGCATACTCCTTGCACTTACTCTCCATATTTAAAAGCTGTATCTGCAGCTCCAGAAACGTGGAATTAAATAATAATATTTCAAAATTTTCAATGCCAAGTAAATACCCTGAGGACAGTTTTAAATTGACAAATTCCCCTTTTCCCCCCTCCCTTCTCCCCCCTCCCAGCAAGGGGTCATAGAAGATACTGTGGTTGCAACATAAATAAATACAAGGCAATCACAAAGTATACTGAAGGCAAAGAAATGGAAGAATATCTGCCAACTTCCTTATTGCCAAAAGAAGGCCAATTTAATAAATTGTTTAAAAGGCTTTTTACTTCATTTGCATTTTCAAAAAAGCAACTAATATTAAACAGTAACTGCAATGTACAGTTGCCATTCTCTACCTAAGCCAAATCTTACAGGCAGATCCTAGCAATGGCATTTGATGTAACTGGGAATTATTAATGAATTGAAAGTATCTGCAAGCAGTGACTCTAAAGGAGCTTCACTTCCTCTGTAGTGTTTACAGGTGACACTACTGGGTATTAAATATAGAAAAAAAATGCATCTGTGAAGCCTGGTACTGCTAGGACTTCAGCATGCAACACGGAACCACATGTGGTCCAGTCTTACAGTCTAAAAGCATTTATTGTATGGAAATACTTGCAAATATGAGGAACAGCTGAACACATTTTCATGGTAATACATTTCCCTGACTCTGGTGCTTCATAGCAATATAAGTAAACTCCTGGCAAAGAGTATTATTTTGAGGGCCAATACAAGGAAGTCAGTTCCAAACTAACAGGAGAGACTTCCAGACATGGTGGGGGGGAGGAGAGAGAGAGGAGGGAAAAGGGAAAGAAGAATAAAGGTGAGAATAAAGGAAAAGAGGAGAGAAAAGAGAGAAAAGAAGGGAAAAGGGGAAACTTTAAGGTCATTCTCCTGTGAAGATAACTGATCAGGAAAGACTGTGCCCACAGACAAGGGCACTAGCATACAACTCTTGCTCACCCTGCTACTCACTTCCTAAGTGAATCCAGGAATTCTGTACAGTGAGATGGAAAATAGTTGGCTCTTATAAGACTATCGTAACAGCATCAATTGGAACATGTTAGTAGAGACAGCGTTAATTCATTACACAGAAATGACAGAGTGAAGACTGGTACAGGATTTCCATTATTCACTAAACCTTTTCAAAACACACTTGCTACACTTTCTTCTATTAGCTTATTATCTCCAGAATCTCTCCAGAACACTGAGGAACAAATAACAAAAAATTATGCAGAAGAATTTAAAGAGAGAACAAGGGACTGTGTTACCTTCAGCTCAACCCTCAAACATAAGACTTAAGTTTTACATTTTCTAGCATATACTCTCAAACCTAATGTGACCTCGCAACTATAAATTCTTCACCAACCACATTTTTCCTTGGGTGTTGGGGTATTTTCCTCGCCGCAACTGACAACTAGAAAATGAAATTAGAAAAATTACATCAGTTTCCTGCTTTGTAGTCTTTATACTGCTTTCAAAATTCTAAACACAGAGAAAGTAAAAATAAAACAATAAAACTTGCAAATGGGACTTGATTCTACTACATCCTCAAGCCTTGTTTCCTCTTCTAGAGCTTAACACTAAATGGCAAAAACAGTCCAAAAAGGTTGAGTGAGGAAAAAGTTATAAGAGAAGGCAGAGAACTGCATATTCCCCTTCCCCTGTTTTTGCAGTGTTCGAGAACTGAATGATTTTGTAGCATCCTCACTCTTTCAGTGGCTGTGCCCTACACAGTCCATTTCAGGATCACACTTGTTTTGCAGTGTATATGGTTAACTCAATAATTAGACCAAACTGTGAATTACACAGATGTTTGCAGCAGGACATAAGTAATATTTATGAAACTCAAACAAATGTTTTAATGACAAATGCAAAAACTACTAGCAAAAATGTCCTAGGACAATGCTACAGTGCACAGGCAAGACTCCATATGTTCTGCATATGTAGCATATTCAGTGCTTCTGAGCAGCTTTCCAGAAGCAAGGAGCAAGTCTCCTGTGCAGAACAGATAAAGAAAACACACATATGTTCAGTGAAACTGTCACCTCTGCAGAATACCAGACAGACTGCACATGTACAGCAGATCCCATTATTCAACAGCTAAGGCACTAGAGCACATGGGCTGCATCTGACAAGATAAGGTAAAATGGCTCACTAAATGAGAAATTCATCACTTAGTCACCATTACTATAAGTTTAACATAGTCTTCTGAAGATGACATTTAATTGTAGACAACCGTAACAAGTTACCATCGTGGCAGCACTTTCAACCTCACTGGAAAACTGCACACCTTCAGATCAAATTCTAGAGCTCTTACACAGAATTTCTGTTAGTTCTATCTGTAATTTTCCCAGCATAGCTGAAGACTGCAAGATGCAATTCTTCAAAGGGAAGATCTCTGCAGTCACTGTGATGGATGTATACATCTCAGTATTACAAAGATATTCGGAATATTTCCGTATGTAATGCAATAGCATGAGGGTGCTGAAAATATCACCACCTACATAATCTAGAGGATGTGGGAAAGCACTGATTTTACTATATTAGATAAGTGATCTTCACATATTAGAGACCGAAAAAAATGCATTCAGATCTTTCCCACAGAAGCACTCCCCTATAACTTAACCCAAAACAACTAATATTAGCATTCAAGTTAGAAGGCCTAGATGCTACATTTTTTGTATTTTCAATTTAAAGCAATATATTGCCATATTCATAGTTTTTCCTCTTTCCCGTAAGATTTTGCTTGTTTTCTCTCACAAAAGGTTCTAAAACAATGGCAGGCAACTCACCTGAGAGGTTTCTAAGTTCAACTCTTGTTTCTCCTTCTCTGTTTGATTCTGTTACTTCACAACTGTAATTTCCAACATCTGCTTCTGTACTGTCAAGCGTTAGAGAGGCAATGCCCTTGGGTAAATCTTCCTGAGATACTAAGTCAGCTGACGGAACCGTTGGATCTCTGTAGAACTGCCGGTTTGCTCCATCGAAAGAAAAAATTATTTTCCCTTCTTTTTTCCATGTAACAAACATGGCTTCTACATTGTTCTCCTTCAGATTAGTCACATAGCAAGGTAAAGTGACAGTTTTATTACAGTCAGTTTTTTCAACAACATCTGTCACACTAAATATCAACTGGGCAGAACCTGTAAAGAAAAATGAAAATTGACACATTCAGAATTATTTCTTAATATACAAGAGAAGAAAGAAAAAAGAATTACAACATATGACTTGGGAAAACGAAACAAACTCTCCGGCGAAAGCACAAAAAGAGAACCATGTTTTAAGGGAGTAACAAAAGAGGGGAAAAAAGGAACTATCATAATTCTGCCACAACCCCTCTACACAGACTTAGCCATTCTCACATCCATTTAATGTACAGATACCATAACCTATCATAATTTTTTAGAAAAGTACTAAAACTTTGGGCTGCCACTTACTTGGACACTTCCCCTAAAATGCCACATGCAGAAATACTGCATTAAGGGTCTGGTTTCTGCAAAGCATACGCAAAACATTAACCACAGGTTGTCCCACCGACGTTCAAATTTTTGCTGCTGATCACACAGGTATCTAAAAACAGAGGTCCAGGCATCAGCTTCACACAAGCATCCTTTACAGTTTGTTAAAGACACAGGGGAAAAAAAATCTACTTTTACACTTCAGAGAGAAAGCAGGCCAGGGAAGCTTAGTCAATGAAGGTTTGTCATTTGCTCCTTTTGAACTCTGAAGGTGGAGCCAAAGGCCCTCCGGTTTAGATTGTTTCTTGCAAATTCTCTCTTCTCTTTTCTTACAGAGGTGGTGCACAGACAATACCATCTATTCAATAAGACTATTACTTACTTAGCATTTGAGTGTATACACAATAGAATTGAAAATGGGGCGTTTATAACAACAAACGTCCTGTATTATAAATTGTTGTGATTAATGCTACTAACAATAGCAATTCAATGCAGGTAATGGAAAAACACCACCACACAGAATTACATTATCACTGCTGGTTTTTATAGTTTCTCCCCCACATTGCACCACAGTTCTAAAACGGTAGTTACTAACTGCACACTGTTACAAGAAAGACCTCAATCCTATGCCAAGATTTTATCTGAAATTATGACCCACTCATCACTTCCTGAGAATACCAAAAATTGTAACATCAGTATTTAAATTACACCAGGAACCAGAAGAAAGAGGTTAATTAAACTAACTTGACTGCAAAATATGAAGGCTTTGAATCCTGTATTTTCTATATTTTTCCTCATTTGTGTGGAATTGTAACTCAGTTTAACAGTTTAATTTATTCTCTGCTGGCTCCATCACTGAGAAAGGTGATTTACAACTAAAGGAAGCAACTGTACTTCCAAATATTTACCAAAGCAAATAAAAACCAACCATTTTGAAGGAACGAAAACAAATCAATCATGATTTTCTCACTAATATTAGCACAGAATGGCAGGGAGCTGTAAATTATCAATTCCACCAGTTTGCTGTTGCATAGGCTATGAGAGCTGGCATATTTTGCCCGAAGCCAATTAAGAAGTACTCATGTGAACTGCTCCACCAGCAGAGTGCTGGGAAATAACGAGCAGGCTGCAGCCAGCCACTAACAGAAGTAAGAGACATACCTGGGGGCTTTGTCCTCTGCAAATCTGACTGCTTCAGTACAAGAGGCTGTGTGTCTGCAATTTCACTGACTGCTTACTACAGATGATAGTTCCACTATCAACTTCTGATATCCTTCTTGTGGTATGAGGAAGTCATCATTTGTCAAGAGTTCCCAAATCCTGCAGCAGTGGGCTACTAGGTGAGCTTCTAGCCTTAAACTTTCTCATGGACTATCAGCTTAGAGGCGTCACATAAAGGTGACAATTTTAGAGCCATACGCTAAGCAGTTTGGTGGGACTCTTTCTGAAGAATTTGCAGTTGTGAAGTGGCCACAGAAAGGTTGTTTCACATGACATATACGATGCAAGTTCAGAAATACTGCACATTAAGGCAAAACCGGCTAAGCTTGGTAGTTGCACCTGAGGGATGCCTGCATTTCTCGCTCACTACAAAACACACTAGGGCACTTGGCCACTCATTTAAGCCAGTCTACCGCTAACTTAGGAATCCAGACACGAATTTAGATCCTAGTTTTAAACATGCAGGTTTAGATGTGCTGCTTACTGACAGAAGAACAATCTACCATTTACACTCCAGTGAAAGTGGCGTTAATTTTTTTAACTCTCCCTCCACCCAGTTTCTTCTCAAGGCACAGAAAAAACCACGAAGTCAGATTGCAAAATGCCATTTACACACTAACACCACCCAAACTTTTTTTTAAGATCAAGAAACGCCGTCAACGCTAGAAACTGTACAGCAGAGAACCAGTTCGATCACCGTTATTTCTCCAAGAAGGCACACCAAAAGCTAAGCTGCCCGAATGCTACCAGGCACAAGAAGATATCTGTTTTTTGCCCACAGCAGGGAGGCTGAAACTAGATGATCTTTAAGGTCCT